CGAAGCGAAGGGCCTGCATGGTGTGGTGGTGAACGAGTTAGCCCCCTCGAAGGCTAATAGCGCGTTCGTTCCCCAGCGTAGACACCTGCCATCCGCAATTTTGCAAATATCTTATCATCAAGGTGGTTGTTTCACACGTAATACTCTGCCATAAAGAATTATAATAGGCAGTAACTAAAATGTTAAAATTATGTAGTACTTACTTACCCAGTACATAAGACGACCGTTGTAAGACATTTTATGGTAAGATCCATAGTTTTTGTTAAGCATTGCTTTATGTGATTTTAAATATGTAAAATGCTAATGGGTATTTTTTATTTTTACCATCATTTATTACGATTTTTCATCAATTATTCTTTATTATTTTTCCAAAATTTTTTGATGCCCATTACTTTTTATTTATTATTTTGACGACTAAAACATACCTTATTTTGTTGCTCTGTTTTTTTTATTGATGAAACATTTTGCATAATATTATATAATAAAGGATAAAGTGTAAAGCTATTGGCGTTGATCAATCCCTGAGGAATACGCCATGCATTCGACTTCATTAAGTGTCGAGGTGATTGAATGCATATCTGGGTTTTACCATGACTCGCGGTGGCCTACCGATGTATCGAGCCAGTGCTGCTATCCTCCCAGGCAAGTCTCGCACCAATTTGCCGACCCCGGAAGGATAAAAGGCTTGGTGGGCCATGGGCGTGGGAATCGATTCCACGTGTGTGTTGCAGGGTGCCTACGACCACTGCGCCGTACGCGCTCTTTGGAGAGATATTTATGAATAAAGCTGCTTACTTTTCTCTGATGTCGTGCATACGAGAATATGATTGGATCCCGCACCCAGAGAAACTCCATCCTTCCACAGTTGCCAAATTAGCACCAAACTTCTCTCGGAGAATAGAAGCACAGACTTGCTACATCGTTACCACTATTAACCGCACTATTAACCTACATTTGGTAGATGTGTATATTCTTTTGAATGAACCCACTTTTGTATTTGCTGGATTGTATGGTCCATTGTATGGTCCATAAAGATGGCTCTGTTGATCTACATGACGAAACCATGTATGTATGCTTAGGACGGATGAGGTTAGGATGGAGAGCAAAGATGAAGCGTTGAACAAGAAGCTAATTGTAATAACGGCGGTTATCGTCTTTATGTTATGCCTCTGCTGCGCGATCGTCGGATTAGTCATGGAACACAAGAAACGAAAAGAAAAATTGAAGTTGTACGATAAGATGGAAAAAGAAAAAGAGAAAAAAAGAAAGAGAAGGAAAATGGTGAGAAAGATAGTGGATGTAAATTATTTTACTTTATAAAGAGTAATTAAAGAATCGTTAACGTGTATACACATCGATTTAGAAAAAGACGAAGGCAAGAAAAAAGAGAAAGAAAAGGAAGCTCGCCAAGTCTATGGAAGCTATGAAAAGAAATACAGGGGTAAGCCGATATCGTCTATTTTGCACAGTATCCTTGAATTAAGACCCTTATCGTACAGCTAAAAAGGATAAAGCTCTCGGCGTTGATCAATCCCTGAGGGATGCGCCATGCATTCGACTTCATTATTCTTCGTTTGGAGGTGACTGGATTCATATCTGGCCTTTACAATAGCTCACGATGGCCTACCGATGTATCGAACCAGTGCTGCCATCCTCCCAGACAAATCTGGTACCAATTTGCCGATCCCGGAGGGATGGAAGGCTTGGTAGGCCATGGGCGCGAGGATCGATTCCACGTAGGGCGCCTCCAACCACTGCCGCACAAGCGCTCTTTGCCATAATGCTGAAAAAATCCAACCACTTTTCACAGAATTTTCTCACTCTTCTAAAAAGTCTTCGCATTCTCTTAATACCACGTATCTAATAACTTCGTATGAAATTCTATTCATTAGTACTTTGAGATATCACAGCTAATAAGTTAAGGAGAGATGAGCCTCTCAACGTTACCCTCTTTAGAGCTGAGAGGGAAGGAACGTGCAAACCAGAATGACAGTTTGTGCCATTGATTTCCTATTACTCTTACTCTTGATATGGGTGCGTGTAACTCAGCGATTGCAGGCGTCTCCAATTCAGACTGGATCGGCCTTTGGTTCAATTTTATGCTCCGTATTCCCCAAGTATTCCATACTTCCGGGGTCAGTGAATTACTAACAGATTTGACTGGGAGAATAGCAGCACTAATTGGACACATCGGTAGGCCTCCGGAGGTCATTGTCTAGACCAGATACAATTAACATACCTGATTTTACGCATGAAGTTGTATGGATGGCTCATCTGTCGCGGATTTCTCAACACCGAATGCAGTCCTCGGTTTAATCACATTTGTGAATATGTCTATGTCCTACACAAAAGTGTATATGTAAGTTTAGAGTAAAACATGTTAGCAAGTTAACAAATGCACACATTAGCATAAATTGCTGAATTGTTTAGTACTCAGTATTCACCACTATCTCCCTGGCTGCTAAAATCTCAGAATCGAAAGAGTTCATTTACACTTTCAGCGCTCGTTGTGAGCATCCGCAGAGGACCAACTTTCTAGTAGAGATGATTTCTTTTAAATAACCCGTCTTTCACATCTACTGTGCGGATCCCAGCATTCCTCACACTCGTTTCGTTTCCTCGCATCCATCACACATGGAGGTCTTCCAACATTAACGTGTAGCTTCGGCTGCGGCTTGAGTGTTTTCTCTTCAACACAAATATCGCCGAATGCTTGTCGACTCGATTCTGCCTGGAGTCCTGAGTTAGCAGGGCTAAAGCGCTTCCACGAGTTTTTCCTGAACAAGTTCGGCACCGATTCCCCGAACCCGAAAGGATGAGATACTTGGTGTGCCGGTAGCGGGGCCAAACTAGCGCCAGTGAAGTTTTATAGGTGATTAAGATATCAAATACTGAAGTGACGGAGATGAGAACGGCTCCACCTCGGTTCAGCATGCCTACGGTTATAAAAATAAATTTAGCACGCATTTATGTTTACACCAATGTAGTTTGTTCGAAACGTTGACAACTCTGCTTGTTAGGGCACAAAATACACAAAATACAAAAGCTAATGAGGTTTTATTGCAAGAACCTCGAAAAAAAACTGGAATAGATCGTAAAGTCATAGTTACCTATTTAGATACTTATAACCCATCTTTATGTTATACCTTTTTATTTCCTGCCTACTATAATTTCGCGGCAGTACCCTGCGTTCAACCAGGGGTGATTGTTTTTATGGACGCAAAGAGTTCACCTGAACGAAATACTCAGTGTAATTGGAGACGTCCATATTTCGAAACCCATCCATTTCTTCTCTACCCGAGCAGATACCACGTGTAATCCAGGTTCTAGTCTTTCTTTCATTCGATTCGTTTTCTAGCAACCATCATCCACGACACTGTTCGGATTTTGCATGCGGCTTCAACTGATGCTTGAGAATTTTGGCCTTCTTTAGAAATGCAGTTGAGTTCTGGTCGAGTAGATGCTTTCTGGCACCCTGTTACAGCCGTGCTGAGACGTTCCTAGATCCCCATCACAGCCAGTCGACAACCTTTGTGCATTGGGGGATGCTCTTCGCAGATGTACGGCATCAATTTTTTCCTTTTTCTTCAATTTGTTTCGCTACATTTGGTTGATGGGAAGTTTCGTCTGCCATGGGCGTAGTCAAACCTACTCCTGCTTGTACTATCGGCAACCTTGCACAATGGCACCCTTCCAACTTCAAACTTAAGGAAGCGATTTATTTCACATTTAAATGCAATTTGCCGTTAAGCAACAGTTCTTTGTGATATAATTCCAAATAGCAGCCATCCGACGTTGTAAATTTCAGGTACTGAAAGCACTAGAAGAGTACTTGGCTGGTCAAACAGAAACAGTGGTGACCGGAGGAGATACCGAGAGCGTTGAAATGCCTACACCTCTCACAAGATCCAATTCTTTGTTAGAAACCCCGGTTCCTTCAAATCTGCCTCCTGCTCCAAGCGATCAAGTCAAGGAGGCCAAGGAGTCGCAAAACAACTACGTTACGCCACAGAAATAACCTTTTGGATATAATTATTGAAATGATGCTACTACGATAGGGATCACCTGCAACATTATGCATTTTACGTTGTACATTAACGATGGTTCGATTTCAGTGATCAAAACTGTTCTGCTACCATCAATAATGTCAAATGGTAAATGAATATTTCTTTCTATTCTTTCTTCCTATTTCTATCACTTCCTTGCTCTACCAGAGCTTATACTGCTAATATTTAGGAGGTTTTGAAAAGAACGAAAAGATAGAGGATAAAGCTAATGGCGTTGATCAATGCCTGAGGGATGCCCCATTCGACTTCATTAAGCATCGTTAGAGGTGACTGAATGCATATTCGGTCTATGCAATGACTCGTGGTGGCCTACCGATGTATCGAGCCAGTGCTGTTATCCTCCCAGACAAGTCTGGTACCAATTTGCCGAACCCGGAGAGATAGAAGGCCTGGTGGGCCCATGGGAGCAGAGATCGATTCCACGTGTGCGGGGCGCCTCCGGCCACTGCACAACGCACGACATTGAAAATGAACTAGCTTTAAGAAAGGTAATTTATTTCCTATGCGGTAAATTATTCAAAACAATAGAGTGCAAGTTCCAACACTTACCACCTGCTTCGTAAGAATTTATTGCGAAATTACACATGTACAAATAACACGTCTCAATGAAGTTTTTACACACACCTTATCATCGGTGTGCTTAGAGCAAAACAAAAGAGCATCACTACAAAGCAAAGTCCGGTTGCAGTTAATCTTCCATCGGTAACAGATATAGTTTACAGTTAACGAATATACAATTCTCAGAGGAGGATTCTTAGAGGCATTTCTGATATGCGAAAATGCATATAACAGGACGACGAAAACGATTAGATAGGAATAAAAACCGCTATTGAGATAATAGAAAAAAGAACTAAGGAGATTAGCACAGTTAGTGATATGAACGACGACAGCACTGCAACGGCGATCGTAGAAAGAACAGCGGTGGTACAGTGGTTAGTGAAGCCTTGTCGCCCATTTTAAATCGTCTTCTCTAGGTTTCATTCCCGTCAACGCTGTCACTACGGTTTCGGCTCTCCTCCAGAAACCTGCAGCATGACCAACCTTTGGCTTATGCCAATCATACCTTATTAAGCGCGAAATACAATGTTTTAAGCACTAATAAAAGGTAAAGCGAACAAAGTGTTCGGCTTCAATCTCAACGATTCGGATGACCTATTAAGCGTCACAGAGGTGACTGAATCCACATTTGGACTACACAATGACGTCTGGTGGCCTGGCGATAAATTAAGTTAATGATTTCATTCTCCCTGACAAGTATGGTACCAATTCGTCAACTCCAGAGGGTTGTCAAATTCGTCAATCGATTTCCCAGAGTGCTGGATCGTATCAACGAGCATGTATGTATTGCAGAACACCTCTAATCACTGCGTTACAGCGACTTTGAAAACTAATCGATATACCAACTCGAATAATTAGAAATAACCAGTCTTCTTCACAGATGCTACCGAATGATGGTCGAGTCGGTTAATTCTAGAATCCTGGTATAGCAGTGCTACGGCGTTCCCAGGTATTCATCACAGCCTGTGATAGGAGAGCTCTGCCTCTGTCAATAGGAGTGCTAACTCCAAGGAATTCTAGTTCTAATCAGTTTACTGATCTAGGAGGGATGGTAGGCTTGGTTAGCAAGGTAGGGAGACGAAAAAGTGTCTAACGCATATTGAATAGCATCTGCAAGGCTGCGCTATCCGCTATCGGTAGTAGATTATTTTGTGCAAACTTGCTCTCGCTTTCATAAAAGATCCGACAGTGAGTTTTCTACAGCGATTTCTTTCATATCAACTGGAAAAACGAATGCAGAAAAAGGAAGTCATACAAATTTAAAAATCCGTTTGCTTAACCGCTTCTCAATTTCGACGGATTGAGTAGTCAGTTTGCATTAAATAGGACTGAAATTGTTCAAGAACGTGTCAGTAGTCGCAAATGGACCAAGAATATTTGATCTAGCCACCAGATCAACTCAGATCTACCAAGTCTCCATTGCTGCAGTGAAACTAAACCAGAAGCAAGACACTACATAGTCGAATACTTGATACTCGATATTTGAACGGCCCGTCCTCACTAGTTGTGCGGGCCCCAGCATAAACACCACTTTTCGGAGATTTGCTGGTTAAGCCATTGTGGTTCCCTGGAATCACGACAACAGCCTGGCCAAAGTCTGCCCCAGATCCTCACCACCACAGGCAGTCGCAGCCCATGTGGATCAGAGGGAGATTTACCACCATGCGACTTTGATACCAAGACGGTGGTGGATCCTGGTATTGGTTTACTCTTAGCTAGGCTTCCTAATGGAAACGCCGGACTCCTTTTCAGCTTGGGAGACCCTCTCGCGAAGACGAATCCTCCCGCTGCACATCGCAGTTCGATACCCAGGAACACCTAGCCACGATAAGACGGTGAAGCGTTGCGAGCACATAGTTGAATGGCTGTTGAAATACAAAGTACAAGACTCAAAGTCCAATTCTCAAACTGCCAACGAGTATAATTTCCAAAATTTCTTCCAAGAAGACGATAAACACTGAGCTGCTAAAATGCCACGATATGTCATGCTAACGCAAAAAAATATGGCGCGTGTGGCGCAGTGGTCGGAGGTGCCCTGCGACACACACACATTGAATCGATCCCCGCACCCATGGCTCACCAAGCCTTCCATCCTTCCGGAGTCGGCAAATTGGTACCAGACTTGTCTAGGTGGGTAGCAGCACCGGTTCAATAGATCGGTACGTCACCGCGAGTCATTGTAGAGGCCAGATATGCACTCAATCACCTCCAACGATGGTTAATGAAATCGAGTGCACGGCGCATCCCTAATGAATTGCCGAGAGCTTTATCGTTTTAAAAAAGTACTGTACATACCAATACATTCCAAAGGGTAATTCAACCATCCGGTAGTAATGCAATAGTAACATGCATGTGGAGCGATGTGGTGAATCTGAAGCCATAAAAATGAGCACTTCATAACACATATTTGGATAAAGTGAAAATATTTATGACCGAAAACTTGCCACATAATAAATTACATTACGTCTCTTAAGTGATATCCTAATATTCATTAACCTAGTTAAAAAGTTGTACAAATTCAATAGTAATTCATTAGCCTGAAGCATAAATCTTGGTCGTTCAATGAACAACTATATGAAGGAGAACCTCCTTTATTAGGAATGGCGCTCTACGTTCATAGATTTTCATTAATTTATGTAGTGTCCATTAAAGCAATGTATTAAAACCTACTTTATGATGAGACCGTGGCAGTATTATGTGCGCTTTCTGAAGTAACACGACCCAACGAGAAAGGTTGAAATAGGTGTGCGACCATTTGTGGATCTAAAATAAAAGTGAAACGACACACTTCAACAATGTGCAAGAAAATGTAAAACGATTTTAAAAAATAATAGTACTGCACCTGGACAGTCTAAAGTGATGGGTAGAAATCATAAAAGCCTTTTGAAATATTGCTACGATCCACGACGTTGATACAGCACAACTTCCCATCGTGCGCTTATTTTGGGACAATCGCTAGAGGTAGAACAAAACAAAACGGAACAGGATATAAGTATCGTACCTGATTTGTCATCGCCACGTAGATACCGAGTAACAAGATGTACCAATGCAGTGCGGCCCATTGTCGTAACTGTTCCTGTTCCATGGTGAGTTGCTGATAGAATATGTGCGTTAGATTTGGAATGCAGAGCATAAAATTGTCGCCGTTCACCTAAACAAATCGACTCGGTATAGGAGAAAAAAGGATTCCGTTCTGATCAGTAGTCTCTTAGGGATGTGCCATGCATTGGACTTCATTCATACCACCGCAGTGGTGACTGGATGCATATTTGGTTCATGCGACACCCTTTAAGGGCCTATCGATGTATCAAATCAGAATTTTTTTGATTACGCAGAGAAGCTGGATGTAATCTTTTGACATTGCGGTGTTGGAGAGCTTGGGTTGGAACAGACACGGGACTGAACCTATAATTATGTAAGTGTTGTACTTCACTTCTAACCACTATACTGCGGACATCTTGATTCAATATAAAAAAAAAACTAAAATCGAAGAACAGAACGATAGCCTTGGAGAAAAGGGACACACCATTTTAAAGATCTTGATACCACCGTGTGAGCTTGACAAGGGTCATGAGCATCAGCTACACAGAATCGAAAGAATATATATATCAGGCATTGAATAAGCTGTGGTACTATTTACAGTATATGAATTTATATTAGATATAGATTTACTGTAACATAGATTTGAGAACTGGTGCACACAGATTACCAAAGGAACACCACAATATGAAATGGCTAGAAATAGTGACGATAACGTAACTATGAACTAATCGCAGCTAAATGAACAACAATTGAGGACTGTAAATGAAACCTTAAAAACAAACCTCCACAAAGTCATGTCGAGTGATAGCCGTCGGATCCACATGATGTTCACGAAACGGCCGAATGAACATCTAAACTCTGCAGTAAAGTTGTCTCTCAACATTCAGTATTTTGTATCACACCGTCCTCATCTACATAAAAACTTCGACTCTGAAGCATTTCAGGAAAGACTGAATATATATATATATATATTTGTTTCTACTTCTGTTCAGCAAGCACGAGGTGCTATTTTATTTCTTTATTTACGCACAAGCTGACGTTTCGGCGGATTTCGCCTTCCTCGGAGCCTGGAAGGGTCAAGTTGACAGCAACCACTCGGCCAAACACCTCCATAACCAAACAGAGAAAACGCTAAACCAAGATTTCAATCACATTTAGCATGGCTCTGCACACTCACCACTTTCTATGAGTCCTCCACTGAGTATGCCGCGTGAAGACTGACCGCACAGAATTCACATGGAAGCGTAATGTGCCTCTCCCATCAGAATAACAGGTTTATAACCTGTTATACTCAGTGGAAGACTCATAGAAAGCGGTGAGTGTGCAGAGCCATGCTAAATGTGATTGAAATCTTGGTTTAGCGTTTTCTCTGTTTGGTTATGGAGGTGTTTGGCCGAGTGGTTGCTGTCAACTTGACCCTTCCAGGCTCTGAGGAAGGCGAAATCCGCCGAAACGTCAGCTTGTGCGTAAATAAAGAAATAAAATAGCACCTCGTGCTTGCTGAACAGAAGCAGAAAGATGTAATCAATCAATGCCGAGGTTAATAGAAAGTCGGACTTGGGATATATATTTGTATCATAATATGTAATCATAACATATAATCACTCGAGATCTGTCGATTAATCAAATTCCCTCAGGTATATCCCTTTCACTATACTCCAGACATTAGGACGAAACGTCATGCACCATACATTTCCTAGCCAGTTCATGTATATCATTACTTTGAAATAAAGACATTCCACCCGGGCAAAGGTAGGAAGCCCACCCCTTAAGAATCAGGAAACCCATCCACACTTGCCCGTCTAAAAAACTGTATAAAGACCGAGATAATACTGGCACCAATATGTTGACCCAGAATGGATGGTGGGTTTGATGAGCCAAGTGTGTGGAGTTGAATATGAAAACACACAAATTGCAGAGAACCTTTAAATAGTGCGATACACTGGCCTTCAACCCTCAACGCTACAAAACTACAAACTTTTTTCCTCACAAAAGATGTATAACTTAGATAAATATGTCACTTAGACCGAAACTCTTATTAAGAGGACTGGATTAATTTTTCAAAAAAAAACAGAGCTCGAATTTGCACAAAATACAAACTGACAAAGAAAATACAATACGAAGACTTTTAATGAATGGCGCGATTTCTGGAAAACAACTGCTTTTCTAAACCTCGAAATAACCTGTGTCACCTCCCGTCACCTGTGGTTCCGATGACTGTCAAGTGACTCGAGCTGTCTCCTATAGTTCTTTCATTTCTCCCTGTAGCGTAGAAGAGCAGCCCTGCTTGCTATGGAGGTTCTTTGGGCATCATATCTTCCATAAATTTCGTTAAGAACTCAGACCATTAGATCGGTGGTTTCATGAAGTACTTTTGACATTCCAAGAAATCCAGTCACTAGATGTCCTTGCCTATTGGTTGTCGTTCAAACTCATTATGTGTACAGCCAACCTCATCTTCGAAAGTTTGGCTTATAGGACGGTGCCTGCCACTATTGATCGGTGACGTAGATCTACGCATCGGGTCCTCTCTCATGCATATGTGATACGAAATGCTCCTAGCAAGGTCCTCTTGACTGTGCGTTCTATAACGTTCCTCACATTCCTCACATAGCAACAACGTTTCTGACGCAAACGTTAGGGGAGACAGAATGGTGCAACCGTAAAGGTGGATATGGAGTCGGGTGTTCTACGTTCACCTCACTACATCCTCGACGCTCCTGACACCTCCCACGCCGCTCGCTTTCTCCTGCTCAACTCTGGGTCATTATAGTTCATGTTGATTTTCCGAACATCATACACGAAGCTGCACCATTCGGGGACATTCATTCCGTTGAGCGTTAATGAGGCATACTTAACCAATCCGTTCCTCATGAACACCGTTTTTCTGAGATTTAGTCGAAAACCAATCCCTTCACAGGCGCAATCAAAGTCGGTAAGCACTCGTTTAGTCTCACTCACGATTGGTATTATAAGAACGATTTCATCAGCAAAGCGATGATGGTGTAATTGCCGATCATCGATTTTCACTCCCATGTTGTCCCATTCCGTTGTTTACGTAACGTTCTCGAAGATGGTAGTAAATAATTTTGGCGAGATGGTACCGCCTTGCGTAACCCCTGTTTTAACGTCGATGTTAGAATCGTTGTGGAGTGGTGATATCTTGGCTATAAAATCTTTATACAGGTTAAGAAGAATCTTTATATCCTGACTAGGAACGCCCTCACTCTCCAAGGTTTTCATGACTGCTTTCAACTTATTTGAATCAAATGCCTTCTTTAAATCGATGAAAGTGAGATAGAGCTGTCTTTTGTACTCCCTTGATACTTTAGTGAGTCTTGTGAGTTTTGAGTTTTCGTGTAGATGTAGCCAACCCACCGAATCCTTTTGGAAACTATGCCTTCTCACATGGCTGCCCATCGTCCAGTGTTCTGCCAATCCTGTCGAGGATGACTCGCGTTAAAAGTTTGTTGACGACAGACCGTAAGCAGATTGGGCGATAGTTGCCGACATCGTGGAGGTCACCTTTCTAGAACAACAGCACAGCGTTGCTGGTCTTCCACTAAGTAGGAAAACCGCAATCAGACAGGTAGCGTGTGAGGAACCAACCAGTGTGTTTATGAGGACTGGCTGGAGGTTCACCAGATGCTAAGATCTTATCCTGTGCGGAACTGGTGTTGCTCGATTTTTCACAGACGAAACGGTATGTCGGATTTCAGAAGCGAGAACCCGTGGTACCTCATATCCATCCTCCTTTATGTCACATGAGCGAAGAAGGAAGTCGCTATTGAGGAGATCCGAGTGGTAGTCGTGAATGATTTTCACCATTGCCCTTCTGGATGCTGTAACTGTTCCGTTTGGGCGTCGCAGTGCAATAGTCTGGGTTTTCTGAATGGCGAGCCTTTGCCAATGCTTTTTTCGACCACCGCATCTTCGACCAAAAATGCTGCTTTTTGGCTGCTAGTTGTCTGCAGCTCGTGCGATTCCACGCTGGCGTGCCCAAGAGTTTCTGGAGACGGAAGTGTTTTAGTGACTTTCAAACTATCAACTCTCATAGAGGTAACATGAAGACATTGAATGAGCTAATCACATTCCTCGTCGATCTTACGAAGAACGGCATCTTCCCAACAGGCAACTGAATAATGAACTGAATATATCCTAATCCGCGGCGGTTTTGGGACTTCTTTTTTCGAATTTAGCGGCTTTTTCTCCTTTCCGCCAGAAATGAAATCTTGCACGAAGAAGGCGGTGGCCTGATCCAGTGTAGAATTTTGGGACAACAGCGGCATCGGTTAGGCAAAACTTTCGATTTACTATGATGTGGTCAATTTCGCCATGGTACTCTCCATTGGTAGACTCCCACGTCCAGCGATGAGGATGGGGTTTCTGGAATTACAAGTTACCATGAATGGTCTTGGTCGTCATGATAAACTCAGGCAGCCGTTCATCCTGCTCGTTCCGTTCTAAACAGTGGGTTCCAACGTGATATTCTTCTAGGTCCAGTCTTAAGATTAAAATCTTCAATGATTACCTTAAGCAATCTATGGTCTTCTCTGTAGAAGTTCTTCAAGACCATACAGAACGCTTTGACTTCGTCTTTGGCATAGCCTGATGTCGTCGCGTAAACGACGAAGATTGTCAAAGCCAGTATTGGTCTACATCTTTTCAGCCACAAATGTCCGATTCGGCTTGCTAGCTGCTCGAATGGATCGATGTTCATAGCCAAACTCTTGTTGACGAAAACTCCCACGCCGCTGACTCCTCTACTATTGCATATTCCGGTGAATAGTTACGGTTTCACAGACGACATTGAATGGGTGACGCCTTATCGCCTCGGCCAATACGATGACGTCATACCTATTCTCCTTGCCTGCATAATCAAGTCTTCTATTGAAGACTCAGATGCAGGTGTGCGTTCATTCTCGGTCCAGACCGTCACTTTAGTCGTTTGCCATCTAGGCAGCCTAGAATGGCTCTGGGGTTTCAGCAGCCTCTCCGTACTCGTCCTACCCAACGCTGCCGAATTATGGGCTCCTTCGGGGTCAGGAAAACAAGGTCCACTTATTTTACTGTGTCTTTCAAAATATTTCACCAAAATCCTGTTCTGAAAATGAAGAAACACTCAAAATAATTGACATGTTCCTAAGATTTTTGAATCATTTTTCCTTTTCAAAACTAACAGAGAAAATGGCTCCATAAACTCCTTGAGAAAACAAAAAGTTCGAAATTTCTTTCTCCTCTTTTCAAGAAAACGAAAGACATTTTGCCACTGAAGTTACGGCACCGAGAAAATGGAACTGAAAAGAGGTCCGAAGATAGTAATCACCCACCCTACCAAAGTATGTATCCACACTGCCAAACGTGTCAGCTCCCCAATGAACTAAACCAGATGCGAAATCTGCTGTCATCACTCCAAGTACGGCACAAATTAGCACTGAACCTGAATTAAAGAAGGTCTTGAAATGATCTCAACTAAAGCACATGCAGTAAAAGAAAGGTAGATCTCAATCTATACAGAAACTATGTCATTAGTTTATGGATGATTAGTTTCTAGTTTGCCCACCTATGGGAGCAAAGAAACGCAGTGGTTATAGGCACCGTTAATAATACGCACAATGTCCCTGACTGGACCCTGCACAGACTAACCAAACATCGAATACATCCAAAGTCCGTAAATCGACAGCGGATTATTGTTTGTCCAGCGCTCCTTTCGACTCAAAAGGATTGGTAACTGCTGGTGGAGAAGACCAGAGAACATATCAGCACGTCTATACAGGATTTCAAGAGAATCTACTCAATTATCATTCAACGACATTTATGAATAACATCAAATCTTCAAGCAGCAATGGAATCCACACGAAAAGCCGAAGGCCTTCGTGAATGATGAATGATAGAAAACGAGTTGAGTGGGAGAAGAGGATGGGCACAGTGATGTTGGCCCATGTAGAAGTCAGCGATCAGAGCTTCGCTTGATTTAACCGGGTCAGTATTGCGTAGATGAAAGCAAGCTATGATAATGCCGAAAACCTTCTCATTGAAAAAGAGCATAAATAAACACTATAGCCGAGTAAAGTGTCAAAAGAGTTCGTTACTTGTCACCCAGGATTTTCTCCACTTTCTCTTACAAAGGATGAACTTATTGGAGCGTGTAAGGAGTAATCTCAGTAATTTTCTACAACAGCTTCTAAGTGGAACGTCAGGTTAGATTTAATTTCTAACTGGGCATGAGGATATAACACATCTTTCGGTGTGTCAAATACAACCGCAAAAATTCTAAGACATGAGTAAAACTCTGAACTTCACGCAGGCTTCAAACCCGCGATTACTCTTGTCGGGAACCATCAAACTCATGTCGATTTTTGCTTCCCAAATCACTCTCGTTGATAGATGATATCTCATAGCGTCGATAAAGTGTAAATAGGCTGAAAGAAAGGCAAAGCAAGAGCCTCCACTGATATGGTGGTTAGCAGGTGAGCCACCGGTAAGGGTAACACGAGTCCGAAGCTCACACGAGGTCCTAAATTTTGTCCTCAAGGAATAGTTTACATTTACCGATGCCCCGAAAATTAAGACATTCTTTTATATGGTTGGTTTTGATAAAAACAAAAACAATTAAACTCAATTCGTTCTCAAACAAACCCCAAATAGAAGAATCCCAGCTCCTTAGTAAGTTCACGAACACCAAGACGAAGAGAACGGACGCGACAACGATAGACACTTGTTCTTGCAAACGTTTCTCTGAAAATAAAAGATTTCGCAAAACAGTACAACTTTGCTAGTACTGGTATTTAATATTTATGTAATAGATCGATCACTATACTATCGAGTTTGGTGCACCCACAAAAGGTGTCACGTTGTTGCACCAACAAAAACGAAACTCAGTGGACTAAAAACAAGCGCTTCCACAAAATATTCAGGAGACATTCAAACGCAAAAGGTGAAGAACATATTGTAAAACAAATAATTTTGAATACGACATCTAAAATATGAATAAGGGATATGGTAACAAAACTTGACAACTGTTTCTAAACGAAAACTGTGCTGAAGCACACTGATGAACGCATAGTCTGTAAAGGCCGAGCCACATTGAACTGGATGCTTACAGTGATTTATTATTTAATTATTTCATTGTAAAAAAAAGCTGTGCCCAAGTATTGAACTTTACTGCCAAAGTACACCTTCAACACCAATAGTCTTTCGCGAGGAAATGAATACGTTGGAAGAGGTGAGATTTTTTCAGAAATTATCAAGTATAGCGAACGTCTCTTTAACTAGCCACGTTTGGTACAAAGTGCGTGTTAGATAAGCTACAGAGTGAGTAAGAAAACTGAGGTAAAAAGGCTCTGTGTAGCAAAACAAACCAATGAAAAGAAATGTATTGAACAATATGCACTTTTATATAATGCTGAGATATTTGCAAAACTCCGGACAGCAGGTGTATGCAGTGGTGATTGCTGATGGCAAAAGATAGACAGAACTAGCTGAGAGACAGGCAAAACGAAGGACCCGGATGGTGTGGTGGTGAAGTGCGCTACTCCACGGTAAGGACAATAGCGCGCGTTCGTTCTCCACCGCATACACCTGCGGTCCGGAGTTTTGCAAATCTCAGCATTACATACGAGTTATATTTCGCAACATACCCTGCCATTAAAAAAAGAAAAAGGCAGTAAATAAAAGAGTTAGGAATATGCACTTTGTCGACTTTCAAGGATGATCGACATGTCCGCTGTATAGTGAAATTGTCTACGTATGAGACAATTGTGTGGGCCTGAAGACATGAGAACAACTTGGAGTTTCGTCGCTGCATTTACCCAGTTTCACAATTTCATAACAGAGTAATATTTTCGAGAGCTTTGATGGAGATAACAGCGTTGAAAAAGAGGAAGATCGTCAAGGACTAGATGTCGTCGACAGCTGGAGACCTTTATCCCAGATTCGCACGCAGCGTTCAAGACCTTTTCGAAGAACTATGCTCACTGAACTCAGTTAAACGCAGACTATAGTCGAATTCACAATTTACAATTTTTTACTATACCCTACATCATACATTACATCATACTCATCACACATATACATCATACTCTGCCTTGAAAAATCATTATAGGCAGCAAATAAAAGGTTAGCATTGTGATTCTGACTACAACGCCAGCTTAACTAGGTTCAATGTCGATTTGTGCTCCCCAGACCAATCCAGCTGAATGGGTGACTGCTCATGGCGGCGTTAGGTAGAAAACTAGTTGAGAGAAATACAAAGCAAGGGCCTCGGTGGTGCAGCGTTTAATACCCGAGCCCCCGGAGGGGGTAATCGTGGCTCGATCTGGGCACGGGGTCCAAGTTTTGCGATTATTTCAGCATCGTTGTGGTTGTATTTCACAGCATAACTTGCCGTGAAAAATTATAGTAGGCAAGAAATAAAACGTTAACACTACAACTTTTTATCTCCTCATTTTTTCCTTTAAATATCGGAACACATCGATGGAACTGGAATGAGAGAAAGGATAAAGGATACAGTAACCGGCATTGATCAATCGTTGAGAGATACGTTATGCACTCAACTTCATCAAGCTTGGTAGAGGTGACTGAATGCATTTGTGAAAGAAAGATTCACATTCCAGCGCCGGACCACGTCCTAACTACACCTATTTTTTGACTTATCCAAAAAAGTATGTAACAACTAGTTAGTGAAAAGTACTTAGAAGATTTATTAGCTCAAAGGCCTATAGAACTAAACAACGATATTCGTTGATGAACAACTCAATACAGTAAATAATAATTGAACAAAGCAACGATCATCAGAGAATACCAGTGCCAATTTTCGTCACCTTACTTCCTTGATACAAGAATGACCCGTCCTCACTGGTTATGCGGGCCCCAGCGCAATGTCCACTTTTCGGAGCTTTGCTGGTCAATCCATTGTGGTTTCTTGGAATCCCGAGGTCAACCTGGTTAAAGTCTGACCTAGGTCTTCGCTAACACAGGCAGTCGCAGCCCTTGTGGATCATAGGGAAATTTGCCACCATACGAATTTGATACTAGGGCGGTGGCGAATCTTGGTATTGGTTTACTCTTAGCTAGGCTTCCTTATGGAAACGCCGAACTCCTTCTCAGCTTGAGACATCCTGCTAGTGGGATGAACCCCGCTGTACATCGCAGCCCAGCACCCAGGAACAACTCCCCGCCACTATGAGGCGGTAAACCGTTACGAGGTTCGTCATCTTACTAGAGTTTTCAAAAAGAGCTACATTATCATTAACACAAATCAGTGAAAAACTTCTTACTCTATATATCTATAATTTATAGTGACTAATTGTCTAGAATAGCACCCATTTTTCCTTACTACCGCACATTTCCCATGCTGATCTCTACTATTAACTGAATTATAAATTTTTGAAATTACTATGTGGTAATGTTAATATGTTAGGATAGTATACCTCTACTGTACATGGATGCCAACGCCTTCGCTCCGGCGTGTTGAGGACCCCATCTTGGCGCTGCGGCACCCATCACCGAGTTCACATTACCGTTTGGGTCATCTTCAGGCATTGACGGTAACTTTGACTGGTCGATATCTTCATCGAGACTTGGAGCAGGATCGGGATACATGAACCTGATTTTAGACTACAAAGTTTTATTTTCACACAAATTCTCAAACTCTACTATGTACGAGTAGCAAAGAAGCATCACAATTTAGAAGCAAGCTAAAAAATTATTTAGTATTTAGGTGACCTTCCTACAAAAGAAAAAAAGGTGAGAAGATACCAGCGTTCTCTGAGAGGTCTTGTTTATGAGTTCTGAAACAGCAGTGTATAACTTGAATACTTGAGTCCTCCCCATGGCACCTTGAAACCGTATCAAAACTCACGGCAGGCGAAAAACGATGAAAGTTGAGCATATGCCGAGAGGAAAATATTGTGGAATGGCCATCCAGATAGATTTTTGAAGATTATATGAACAAAAAAAATGTAGACATAAGCTACCATAGTTCTGTCGAGGAGAAAAAAAGCTTGGGCGACGATCTATGTTCAACATCAATCACCTCTATGAAGGTTTTGGATCCTGACTTTTCTGCAGTACACTCCAGGCTGTTAGAACGTAAGCATAGTTGTTGACTTCGGCAACTCAGTTGAGACGAAAATGGCATGCACAATGACAACAAATTTCTATTAACCATTGCTTCAATCTGACGTATTCGTTTCAAAAAAAAAAGCGTAAACGAAGCATACAGACGACGCCTAACAAACCGAAGAAGAAAGAAAAAATTGGGTTTGAAGGCGAAGGAAAATCCAGTTAATGAAGCATCGCCTGTAGGATAGAGAATGCGAAATTGGAATAAATGCCTTATGGAGGCTTGTTTTCCATTCATCAAGGAAGGACTGTACAAAAGACGAAAACGATTAGTACAGATTGCTTCCGAGTCGTTCAGAACCGCCAACTAGCAAAATGAGATTTCCGTCCGCGCTCCGTGATATTCAACATGACATCTCCAGTCTCCACTGTGCAGCTGACAGATGGACTAATACCATAGCCACGTTAAAGGTTGTGCTCGAATCTTTATGTGCCATATGACGCATTAAAGAATCTACAAGCTTTAACGTTGTGTTGGCTAGTTTAACGAAAGCTTCGCGATCAAACCACATAACAAAAGTTGAGCATATGAACATGGGTCACTCAGAAAAAATGAAGGCTTCCAGGATGGAAAGACGAACTTCTTGTTGACTATAACAATCAGTTGGACTTGCACATCTCCGCCTGACCTCTCGAATGAGGAACAAAACTTGCATACGAAGCATCCTCGAAAGAGTATCACCTCGAAAGAGAGCATCCCCAGGACAAAAACAGTCGAGAGGAAACGAAACGAATGGAGTGGATACGGGGATTCTCATAACATTCTTAGCGACCTTTTCTCAACTACGCAAGCAAATCATTGTGAAAAGATCAGCTGCACTAAAGAAAGCCTTATCTTAAAATCTGACATTCTAGCGCCAGATTGTTATTGCTGGTCTATAGAGAATATATTCGCCACGAATTCGCTAGCGATGTTGTGTTGATAATATTGAAGTCAAAAAATCCTACATTTTCTCCTCGTCCTGAATGGAATTCTCCGAGCACTGCACAGGTTCCGAGTTAGACATCCTGAAACATAACACCATAGAGTTCTAAGCACCATTCTTATGCGAACCATAACTGCAGAATATCGTAAGTATTAATAAAGGAAAGAACAACAGAGCACCATAAAACAAATTTGACAAAATAAGAAACGAAGCCGAATAGTGGGAAATCACTGGTTCATTGAAACGTCACGTTAATTTAGGCAAGAGCAACCAAGAGCTAAAAAAATTCACAGTGTTTATTTTGCAAAAGAACAGGCAAACGCTTTGAACAGGTCACAACCAAATGGATGGTGATCACATTTCGATTCAATAAAAAGGTAAAGGATAAGGTCTACGGCGTTAACAAACCCCTGAGAAATGAGCCATGCATTTAACGCCATTCGTAGCATTTCAGAGGTGACTGAATGCATATCTACTCTGTACAGTGATAGAATTTCAGAGAAGTTTCATTGCCAATCCTGGAGAGATGGAACGCTTGCTGAGCTCTGGACACGGGATTGAACCAATGATCGTGAGTGTATTGCGGGATGCATCTAACGACTCTACGACACGTGTCTATTTGGTTCCAATATGTTCATGAGTTTCTTGACGTATAGAATGGAAAATTGGGCCGAATAATGAAAACCACATGACATTAGTGTAGGCGAATAATTTAATGCATTATCCTTTGAAGAAAGTTTTCAACAACCGACCGACGCTAGGGGTGCCCTATGATAAGCATCATTGAAAAGCACTTAATAAAAGTTAGCATAAGTCATATATGTGAAAAACTTTTCACATCAGAGATAACTGTCCAAATATTTTCAAAATAAAGCATTTAAAAAATTCAAAGCTCCTACAGTGAGCAAAACTTAGAACGTCAACTGGGCTTCAAACCCGCGATTTCATTTTCCGGTGGCACACGCGCTATTCACCGCATAAACCAAGGCAACTGATTTGTCGTTCTCTTACATAATTCTGCTAAACTGTTCAAAATTCATGCCTACCACGAATCGCTGAATCAAAGAAAAAATTCTTCAGAGTTACCTATTTTCCTTCAGAAATGATGAAGATAAAAGATTCGATTGAAGCGAACCAATTCATAGCAAAAAAAGAACCCGTATCACGAGCTCAACACATACGAACGCTATGGTTTTCTTAGGACCCTAAGGACCTTCATGGTGTTATGTCACTAAAACGAAATTCATATATCTCCTTTCTAAACAACTATACTGGTCCAGTGGGTCGCGAAGCTGTGCAGTACTTGCATTTTCTTTTGCTCGACTTCCCACTGGATCGACCAAGCCCTACTCATTCAAGGCTAGCAAACCGGTACGAGGTTAGTTTGGGAAAAGCTTGCTCAGATCCACAAAGCCTGTAGTGAACATTTGAGAATGCTCCACCAGGGTTATTCCAGGGTTCTAAAAAGAATAAGGTCGACTAAATATTTAACAACACTGAAGAAGAAGACGAAATATCGAAGTGGAAAGGTGCGATGGATCGAAGCACACTACAATAGTCCCAGATTAGGACATACAAGAGAGGCAATAAGGCTCTATATCACAAGTTATTCGTGGTAAAGAACGACAGAAGCCAAGCTCTTAAGCTTAAAATTCGAAACAATTTTAATCAAGAAGAGTTGGGCGATTCTGGACTTGACAAAGATGACCCACTGAAACACGTTCCGAAGTCATAGAAAAAGATAAAGAAGGGAAGACAGTGAATACTTGGCCTCTAGGGCAGAAAAAGCAGAATTATTGAACATCTTGGAAGTGGGCGAAACAATCACATTACAAAAGCACTTTCATCGAAGTTAACAAAATGGTCGAATAACTGTAACGTCTGCTACGGATGTTGACCATTCGAAAGCACGACAACGACGCCTGAACATTTGTCGTCGTACAACCAACATTGTAAAAGTAACTCGGTCCCGCTTATCACGCTTGCTGGGCCTCTATCCGATCAACTGCCACTCTTTTAAATACTTCAACCATTATATACTGAGGAAGCCCTCAATAATCAAACGAACAGTTGCTTAAAATACTTTCACATATAACTTTAATGATGCTGAGATATTTGCTAAGCTCCGGACTGCGGGTCTCTGCGGTGTGGAACGAACGCGCTATTGTCCTTTCCGGCGAGTAACACGTTCACCACCACACCATGCGGGACCTTCGTTTCGCCACTGGATTCGTTGCCGATTTGGGCTCCCCAGATCAATCCCGCTGACGGGTGGTTGCTGATGGCAAAAGATCGATAGAACTAGCTGAGAGACAGGCGAAACGTAGGACCCGCATGGTGTGGTGGTGAACGCGTTACTCCCCGGAAAGGACAATAACGCGTTCGTTCCCCACCGCAAAGACCCGCGGTCCGGAGTTTTGCAAATAGTTTTGCAAATATCTCAGCATCATCAAAGTTATATTTTGCAATATACGCTGCCGTTAAAAAAAAGAGTAGGCGATAAATAATAAGTTAAAATTGTGATTGCTTTCACATAGTTGATAGCTTCCGAGAGTTTAAAATTAAGGCTATGTAGATTCTAAAGGCTTTTATTTCGAACAACACAGTTTACCACAAAGGATAAAAAATGTGTATGTGAAGCTGAAGCTTACAAACGAACGTTGACTTTCTTAAAAAGTGAGTAGAACAGCTCACGACCACTTTTGAAACGAACAAAAAACCTGTCTAGAGGTTAGAAAGTTGATATGGATAAGGGATAAGAGAAAAGAAGTTGATTATTCATATAACGAACAAATACTGGAACGGAAGTAAGATTTTTGGAATGGTCAACACAGGGTAGCTCAACTTAGTAACAAAAACATAACACTCAAAGCCAGCTGACAAGCTGTAAGTGAGTGCCCAAGTGCTCGGCAGGTACACACCTAGATCTGGCCGAATACCATCTGAAAAGACGAAAAAGAATAGATAAGAAAGAAAAAGAAAGTTGTGGGAAATAGTTTCCAAAGTCCGGCAGAGATGATCGGAGCAATGGTGGTTTTCAATATTTGGAGAAAAAATCTAATATAAGCAACATGATGGATTCTGGACAAACAAATTTAAATGCACAACATTGCAGAGCACAAACGCGTTTGCGAGAATTTCAGATAGTAGAGCCGGGTACATTCGTATCCGAATATTTCTGGAAATTCGGACTCCATCGGAGGAAAATTCAACTCAGGGAAATACTATCGCTGTATAAAGGACAACCAGTTTGATTTGAAACATTTGCAAAAATATTTTTAAATTTGATTTAAATTTAGTTTTAAACGAAAATAGCAACATCTCTAGGACGGCCACCTACACGTTGGGCGGACGTGTCCGTAAACAAAGTTAATCAGCTCTACCAGCAGCTGCAGTTATTTTACAGATCACGGTACGAGACTCGCATGCGCTACCATGCTCGAACAAGACCACCGCCATGGACGACGGCAGCGAGTGAAAGAAACGAATGGCTAATGTGCTGAGGTCCACAACTCGTGAGGACGCACCATCCAAGTATCCAAGATCAGGCCATAAAGGCTTATTCTAGAGAAACAAAAGGAACAGGTTAAGGCAATCAGCAACAGCAAAGAAGCATTGAATTTCATAGAAGACATCCATCAATTTAGCCTGAAAACGAGGTTTTCAGAACAGAAGTCGCTTCTATAATGTATGAAAATTGAATTCACTCAAATTTCGTTAGCATAGTCGGTGATGTCAACGAAAGGGTGAGTCACAAATGGAATTTCCTTTAGCACTCATTCTTAATTAGAAACTTTTGCGGCACATGCTCACATCGCATGCAGACTCTATTCAATTCTTCTATTCATTTTATTGTATTGCAATCTTCATGTGAATGGGACTTAGCGCATGGCTTTGGCTACCACTCAAGAACGATTTCCTATTTTCATAATTTGGCATCAACATATTGAAAGGTGATGAAGCATGGTTATGTCTGAAATTCACTAACACTTTCGAGAGTTCACGAATATAAAGACTTTCCGAGGTCTTTACGCAGTCAGTAATCGGCAAACGAGTACTGTAGAGAGATTCGCATGGCAATCCTGCATCCGACTGATCGAGGACGATGTAACAGACCAAAATGATATTTACTATTATAAGCTATTCGAATATTCAAAATGGGAAAATCTAAACAAATCTAAAAGGAAAAAGGATAAAGCTCTTGGTGTTGATCAATCACTGAAGGATAAACCTGTTATTCTGATGGGAGGGGCACATTACGCTTCCATGTGAATTCTGTGTGGTCGGTCTTCACGCGACATACTCAGTGGAAGATCATAGAAAGCGGTGAGTGTGCAGAGCTATGCTAAATGTGATTGAAATCTTGGTTTAGCGTTTTCTCTGTTTGGTTATGGTGTTTGGCCGAGTGGATTGCTGTCAACTTGACTCTACCAGGCTCTGAGGAAGGCGAAATCCGCCGAAACGTCAGCTTGTGCGTAAATAAAGAAATAAAGTAGCACCTCGTGTTTGCTGAACAGAAG